AAAACTGAAAATAAAAAGTATTTAATTTTAATTAAGTACAATTATTTTGAGAAAGTATTAAAAATACTTTGTTAAAGTCTGTAATTTCCTATTATTTTTCAAAAATATTTAAAATATGTATTTAAAAAGTATTTGAATAATTTTACTCAAGTATTTTACAAGACTGCTAACTATAGTAATATTTTCAATCTGATGTAGACGTTACCTATTAAAATTAATAATAATAATAACGAAAACGATAAAATGAGTATCAATTGTGCTATGCATACACATGTGCATCATGCAGCATAATTATAATCAGTTTAATTAGCATAATATGAAAAATTAGTCAAGACGTTAGTTGCATAGCATAACGTGTTGTTAGTATATTGATTTCACATTCGAAAATGTATAAAGAGGAAATATTAAAAATTGTCCATTGAAAAAAATCTATGATTTTTCCTTATATTATATACTATGATGTAATGAATAATATTATCGTTATTAATTGTATTGATTATAGCAATACAATTAATAAGTATTGTGATGTAAATTGAAACTATTTTGTATGTAGATCATATTGTTATAGAATTAATTATACAAATAAATAGGAAATATAATCAATTTTCAACTTTTCAAGAATTCTACAACATACTACTTTTCAAAGCAAAATAATGAAATTATAAGAGTGCAGATTTCTTTCAGTACAAATACCTTATCCAATATCTACAAATTTATGGACTAAAGAATAAAGTATATTAGTACCATATTATATGTTCACTTCCTAAACGAACGTGTCAAATCGAATGACGTTTTTTTGACATTGATTCCATAAAATAACGAAGAATATTTTTCGCTCAATGACACGATTACTGACTAATATAACAATCATCAACGTAGAATTACTACGATTAGTACACTATGATGCTACTTTAGATAAATTCATATTTACAAGCCCGTTATATCAAGTTCAAGACGTAACCTTGCATTTCTGATCAACAGTAAATATAAGTATAATATATCTTTCCTATATGATATACCTACTTCCTTTAGTTTTAATTTAAATCTTATTAATACTTATTTAATTATCAAAATTAATTACAATACTCACAATACATTTTAAGTCAATAATCTCTAAGATTATCGTGGATAATTATAATGGCATATAGCATTAACGGATAATTAAATGTAGCTTATAAAAATAAAAATACAAGAAAAATAAAAATAAAAATATATAATAAAATTGATAAAAGTATACAGTACTTTCCTCGATTTGTATGAAATATTTATATTGTTCTATCCAAACGTGAAATTATAAATGAAACTATATGCATCACTTCAGTATATTAGCAGTATTTTTCCATTATACTTTTATCTACTTAACAGTAGGCATCTAAATAATGGTAGATATTAACGATATTTGTGAGAACAGAGACTGAAATTAATTATGAATTAAAAACTCATCAATCGAACATTCCGATTTATTTTGAAATTTGTCTGTTTTGTGAATCCAATATAACCATTGATTCGGAAGGTCAGTTTTGTAATCCGCAACTCTTATGTACAGATATTCCAGCAGACAAGATTTTAAAATGTATTGCGACTAAATATATTATACTGGGAATTCCTCAGACGTACAGCGAAAAACCAGATATATAGTTGTTCATAATGGTAGGAGTTATAATAAGGAAATATAACGTGAACGGGTTTTTTTAGCATCATAAAACATAACATGAATACAGATTGAATTATACACTAGACAGTACTGCATTTAAAGGTACAACAAAATATATTTTAATAACGTAATTATAAATTTAATAACCTAGCCACACTGCAGCTAGTATATATTTATCGAATGTACATAATGAACATTGACTAGGTATCTAGCACATTTATAAATAAATAAATAAAAAAAAATTTCTTTCCTAGTCACGGAGTGTTGATGTAAAAGTTTTTTGATTTTAGAAAATAATTTTTCTAGAACTATAGGATTTTTATGAAAAATTAAGTTTAAAGGAAGTTTGATAAAATTATTAACTTTTAATAAAATAACCTATAACTCGATAAAAATTATTGTTTCATTGAAAGACATGAATTATTATGAATACACGATAGAATGTTTTAGCATGAAAATAAAGGTATACTTAAAAATATATGAAATAAAATACTATACTTACCTTATTACATTTGTATTTTATATTTATGAATTACACCTAAGGTAAACATACAATAACAATACATAAGATATTTAATTTCCGAACAAGATGATATGTAAATATTATGTTATTGTTGTATATAGACTTCATCAACCAGCCTATGCATGTCCAAGGTTATTTAGCTTCATAAAAGTATAAAATCATATCTAAATTAGTAATCCTAATTTTTGCATATTTTTCGTTAATAATTAACTTATTCTAAGAAAACCATTTAAAAACTTAAACTCAACGAATTGATAAAATATTTTAAGTTATTAACTATTGTATGAATGCTTTCTCTCGTTTAATTATCTTATTATTCAATTAAATAAAACTGAAAGAAATACTACAATAATTATATTTGCTTTTAGAAATGAGGAAATTTTTTAATTTAATTACATACTTGCTGCTTATATTACTAATTATTAATTAAGTTTTTACGTTCAGTGTCAGTCTGTCCATGGTCACTAGACTATGGATACCCTGAAGCTATAGCAAGCATGTGTTTTATTTGACAAGGCCCATCAAATATTAAATAATTTTATCTCGTAAAATAAAAAATATATAAAATAGCCTATTTTACATTTTAATATAGATCAACTAGGAAAATCAGTGTGTTAATAATAAGCTGTATTGATTAACTTGCCTTGATATTAAATATTACATTACACGTGTAGGTATGTAATGAATGAATTTCCTAAATTATTATGTAATACATTAAAAAAATTCTATGTATTCAAAAGTTATTGTGTACTACTTGGTTTTATAAATATTTTTTAATATATATTCCAATAACACGTGTAATAACATAATATATGTTAAACAATTTTAAAACAATTTACCAACAGATTAATATAACAAATAAATAATAATAATATACAATAAATAATATTAAAGATTACAATGATATACTGTATAGGCAGTGATATCACAGATATTTTAACGTATATGTACATTTTAATAACAAGTATTTATAGATATTTATGTACAGAAAAATAGAAGATACTAACATAGTTATTATTTTTTCAACATTTTCAGAACACAAAAATTAAAATATTTTGAATATTTTCAGAAACACTTAATTTATATTCTAAAAAGATAGTACAGATTATCCATTAATTTATACAAGATTTTTTATTACTTACATAATAAAAAATGTAAATATGTTATTTGGTTTTTGGTGTAAGTACTTTAAAAATTAATTATTTGAAAAAAACTATAAATTTTAAAAATAGGTTAAAGTATGCGTTAAATAATTTATAACATTATAAATACATAATATTGGTAAACTTCCAACTAAAAATGGTTCTATTAAGCAACTTAGTGTTAAGTAAGATTTGGGTGAATAATTTTTCAAATCTTTTTTTTTAGCTGCTGTATCTAAGTCCTTTATTACAGTTATATACTTATTAATAAGTATTCATAGATAATTCACAGTTGTTCAGAAAATAAAATAATGTCATTTAACTACCAGCACTATAATTTTGTAAATGTTATATTTTATTTAAAAAAAAGTTAATACATAAAATGAATTCAATTAATTATAATAATATAATCCAATACTATAGTAATTTTAATAAATTAAGAATATATCATTTCAATTTAGTCCTAATATACTGTAGATAATGTCTGTATCAACGAGTTATCACTAAGTATTACTAAAATAATTTAGGTTTCATAAATGAGCATTCATAAAAAAAATTATATTAAAATTACAATGATTGACAATAATTAATTTCTTTTCAATATTTTATCTATTGAATACGCCATTATTATGTATTAACAAGTGGTTTACGAATATAAAATTACATGAAGGCCATGCGGACCAGTTTTTCAGGATTTATAATGCTTTCCGGGGTAAATGGTCATGGTAGAATGTCGTCCCATTTTTTTTTTTTTTTTTTTTGTATCCAGTTGTCCTTATAAAATACAAATAAAGTAGTATTATAAATTAAATTATATTACATTAAACAAATAATTTAAGTACTCTATATACGTTGATATGATTTCAGATACACAATTCATAAAGAAATATATTTTTGATATAAATCTAGATAGAATAAAATAATTGTACAACATGTGACTTGAATGCTTTTTAAGATTTGATTATAAATAATTATCATAAGTATAATTGTCTATTTTTTGGAATATTGAGTAAAAAACTTTCTGAAATAATATAACATAATAATGTTATTGTCATTCATCTCAAAATCGATGTACCTAACTCACCTATATATGTATATATATAAATGTATTATACGCATTGTGTATTGTATAGTCAAATATCATCAATCTACCTTGAAAACCAAAGTTCGTATTCTTTGTTTATAGTCATAAGTGATGATTAAAGATTAAACTGTTCAATGTTATCGGTTCATCACAATCTTTAATCGTTGCGTGTTAAAATGTGTGATTCTTGCAATCGTTTCCCGCTTAAATCTTTTTGATTTGAAGTTTCCAAACGTTATAATATTATCATCGAATATTTTTTTAAAACCCAAATCATAAATAATTTAGAGTTTAGGGTATATTTTTTGAAAATATCTCAATAATGTGTTTTATTTCTCATGTTATTACTTATTACTTAGATTTTTCTGTGCACATTAAAGTCTCTGTTCTGCAGGTATGACAAAAATATTATATCTCTTTATTCTAATTTATAGTAATTAAAATCGTACATTATTAATAATTTTTGTACTATGATACCTACAATAATACAGTATTTTTGTTGCTCTGTACCAGAACATATCATTAAAATATATCATGTGTAAAATTAAGAAATAAATAAATGAAAAAATGCATAACAATCGTTTTTGTTTATTTTAGTTGAGAATACTAACAAGATGTCAGTTACTAGTGTCCAATCAATGAACAACCAAAGCTTGATGAACATTAATGACAAAATGCTTGATAACATCGATCTAGTTGGTGATATTGAGCAGGCAGTAACTCTAGAAGAGCTCAAAGAAGTCTTTAAATATTGTTTCCGGTATGTAGTGCAAGTTTAACTAGTACATAACTAAATTTATTTTAAATTTAAAAACGATAAAACTAACTTTTAAACTTTAATAGTAACTGATATATTTCTATAAATAATTTTACCTTTGTAGATATTCAATTATATTGAATTTCAATACAATTATTGGACATACAATAATATACAATTGTTTTTAAATGCCATCGTTTATAAATAGCATCTTTTTTTTAATTTTAATTATATTTATTAGAAAACGTCGATTAAAATTAAATAATTGATATCTAATACAAAACATAATTCACATTAATTTAAATTCTTTATTAATACCCTTTAAAATAGCGTTATTTTGTAATTCTACCTTTGAAAAATATTTTTACCAACATATGATTTATTTAATATTTTCATTACAATTAAAAGGAAAAATAAGTACTTATCTAATCATGATACTTTAGATCATAATGTATAACTAACTAAAATAGTTCAACAAGACGTAATATTAGATATCATAATTTTCTGCTATAAAGTTGTTAATGGATAATCATCTTTTTTATTGATTAGTTGTGGAGTCAACTGGGAGCAACGACACGTTTCATTAGATTGCTTAGAATGCGGTGGATATTCCCTTGAGAGACCTTGTCCTATTTGTGCTGGCCACTGTCGAAACATTTGGAAACGTGATCTCGAAGAAGTGAGTTTTCAAAAAAAAAAAAAAAAAAATCCATACAATTAATATTTATTTGCATTCATTTTTACATATTTAACTTTTATTTTATAGTCTCATAGAAGTGGTGAGGCGAGTTGGATAGGAGAATGCTCCTCAAAATGTAAAGAATTGGAGCATGATGTCAATCAGATATGTAATAGACTCGAAAAAGTTAAAGCTACTTTTTGAGCCGTGAGAGATAGAAATCTTAAACACAACTGAGTAAATATTGAAAAGAATCTAGATTAAGTGTATCACTTTTCTAATAATTATAATTTTACTCAGTATACACGGTGTCTTTTCCTTGTGGTGATCGTACACTTATTTTTGGAATTATACGAATTCTCAAAATGATTTTTTCATGTACATAATAATTTGCTATTCCATTTTCTATGAAAATTGTATATCGAAGCAGTATAAATTATTTACTTTATTCTGATATTCGTGACAGAAATTTTGGATAAAAACCTTAAATTGTAATAAATATATATTTATTTTGATAAAAATGTGTTGTTATTTAATGTCACTTTTAATAATTAGTATAGAGTAAAATATTATTGGATGGTGTTAGTTTCCATATACCTAACTTGATCTATAGCTGATAAATAGCTGAACATAGTTTTTTATTCTATTATTTCTAATTGAATTTAAATTTGTTATTTTAACTTGATAATGTTTTCATTTTACACAAGAGACCAAGCAATTTATTTTAAATTTAAATATTATATATATACACTTAGAGTTGAGTATGCAGACATTAAATATTAGGGTAAAATGTTTTTAAAGTAAAATTGTTTGTGTTTACAACGGTTAAGTTAAGACTTTTAGATAAAAACTATTTTTAATTAATCAATAAAAAATAAACTGTCAGTACTTAATTGAAATAAACGACATGACAATTTAAAATGATAATTGCGTTAACTAATAAAATGTATTTTATACAACCTACGTGTATTAGGTATAGACGCGTAGGTACTACTCATATTGAATAATATCATAACATTCAATTTAATTTGATACTCAATATTATTATATTAATTATGCACGAGTATTAAAAATTTTATAAAAAAATTAAAAATCTTCCGACTCAATTAATTTGGGCTGGATCCACCTTTGCAATATTGGGTATAGACAATTAATTATGAATGAAGCGTGAATAATTAACCTCATAATGAACTAAAGATCTTTGTTTTCTGTTTCCAAAAAACAGTATAACTTATAATGTTAGAATAATTGCTCAACAAAGATATAGACGTCGAACATGACGGAACGTTTTGAACATTTTTATTGTTTTGAAAAATGTTTAAATAAAAGTAGCTACAATATTAGTAGACTTCCGCCGAAGTGAAGGTTGGAGCATAATAAACAGTACAATAATAAATACTAAATAAATAATATATATTGTTATAATGTACATCATTATAATCTAAAATTAAAACTAACGTAATCAAGATGATGGTCTTGAAGCAAAATTAAGAAAGAAATATAAAAATAATCTAAATATTTATGAATATTGTACTATCAAATTACAAACAAATATTGCTACGGGTGCTACGACGGTAAAAATGTTTGCGAATTTCGTCCACGCGCTCCGGCGACCGTGTCGCTCGTCGATCACAATAAGTCAAGGTCTAGTGTCAAGATGACAAGATCGAAGAATCGGTGAATACAATATTATGTAAGTATAAATATGCACTACGCAGTACTTATAAAGCTATAAACCTATTTATACAAAGTGATTCATCAAATATATTCATCTCATATTTTCCTTTAATATGTTATGAATTTTTTCAAATCCGGATCTTGAGAATTTCTAAGTAATTACTAATTAGTTATGCTCGAGGACAACTATTATTATTTTCAATTACATTATATACTTTTGGATGACTACGAGTTGGTTCCCAATTATCGAAATCATTCTGGGTTGTTTACAGATAACATACAATAGGTTCTTACAAGCTTTCATGATAATACAATCTTATTAAATTAACTTTTTAAATTATTATGATATTTTCAATCAGCAACAATTTTTTTTTCATTTTATACAGATTTAGGACTATCTAAAATTATATCTCCTATATCTTACGCACCTATAATTATTGACCAATATTATCCACAAAGTTAAATAATTTAAAAACCACTCGTATAGTTTTAATTTTGATGTATTATTATGTCGACATTTTCAAAAAAAAAGAAAAAAAAAAAGAATTTGTTTTATAATATATAAGAAAAAAGGAGATTCTCATTTAGAAAAGAAATTCATATTGCCACAGGACACTAACTTAAATGATATAAAAAATAATTAAAAATTAGTGAATGGTCTCGCCTATATTGAATTTTAGAAACTCTTAACGGTATATAATACGTTAGCATTCGATAATAACAAATAACGTAATGTATACCTACATATCTATTGAGAAAATTTCACAGGTCAAACGATTGACAAACCAAATAATAATAATTAATATTATTTAAAGATAATTAATCATATAGTGTCATGGACATCCGATGGTTGGTCGATTTTCAAAATAAACATCCATAAAATATGTATTATAATTTACAACACATTTTATTGAATTCATAACTTATTTTTAGTCTTTTAAAGATATAGTTGATGAGGAACTTTATTCGATAGGATGGAGGATTATTCTACCGTGTATCAAAAGTCAACAAATATAGCTTGAATACAATTATTTTAATTACCAGTATTAACAAAGAATAAAGGTATTACATACGAGTAATACAATAAATTAATATTAGAATCGTTCTAGACATTATATTAACAAATATTTTTTTTTTTTTTTGGAAATCGGTTTAAAGAAGATAATAAATGAATTATAAATGATTTGATTTTCTTTAGATTTATCATGAAGATAAAAATATATATAATACTAAAAATTAGTTTATTTGTATTTGACAGTATTAATAGTTTTCTGAAATATTTTTAATAGACCAATTTGTTTTAACTATACATTAATAATTTCAACAAAATATCACTACTACATATAAAAATTAAAAACCCTGTTTAAAGCCTTTTATTATGTATAAATATTTCTGACTTGAGTGCCTAATTGTAAATAAGTAATATATACCTGTCACATACCTATATATATCTATAGTTAGCTAATAATTAACCAAATGCATTAATAGAGACTGTGTTACAATATTTTTAAAAATTATGTTTAATAAATATGAAAAATAAAAACATGAAAAAAATTACTACTTATACCAAGCTACCTTATTATAAAATATATTTACTTATAATACGGCTTATATTTTTTAGTGTACATATTTATCTCTCAACTTCTTGATTGTCTTTTAGAAACAACTAAAAAATCGTGAAAAATCGTTAAAAAAAAATATTTAATAAGTAATAATTTTACACTTCTTACAAAGTTATTTTCAATAACTTAGAATTTATATTCAACTACTTTTTACCTTGCATTTACCCTCCTATCAATCAACTCTTTTTAGTTGAAACATTGTGAAACGATGTAATAAACGCTTGTTATATTTTGCAAAAGTCGGAAAAAAATGACTATCAATGACTGTGATCGCGACTATAGATGAATGTTGACATTTGCTTAGTAAATTTGGACACCGGTATGTATCAGACCAATTTAGACATTCTTTTAAATTTAATTTTTTTTTCTGCGTACAAAAAAAAACCAAAAATACAATGATATTATTATTTTTAATAATATTTTATTAAATATGTCGTGAAAAAAAACTAAAAAGTCACGACGAATTTATGTTATAATCTTTAAAGTATATAAGTACCTGATATTAGTTATTACAACACTTGTACTTACGTACATAGGTGCACACTTATTGTAATCCTATTATATGACTAAATAATATTATTTTAATATTATTTTTTTTGGATCACGCACCGTGTGGTGCTGCAGTGCAATGTGCAGTATAATTATATAATTATTATAATAGGCACGCATTGTTATAATTGTGTCAGTAATGTTTATTATTCGCGTGACATTACAGTATTTGGGATATACATATAGTTACACAAAAATGTGTACACCATACACACTTCATGTACGTCATACCTGATATAGTTGGCAGTTTGGGTCATGGTTTTAAAATTATGTACTGCTGTCATGGACTACCTATGTATGCATTATATAGTTAGTACGATCAGTGATGTGTGATGTATTCGATGTTGAATTGTTATTTGTTAAGTATGACTATACCTACTAACAAAAATGTGTTGTCACCACGGTTCAAATTGATTCACGATTGTATCGTTTATTCGTATTCATTTGATATACATTGTAGATACAGGTATATTGTTACTTATTATTTATTAAGTACTATAATTACTGATTGCGCAATGCTTAAAAATAGGTAGGCACTAGGTGCTAAACAATTTTAAGTAACTATCTCTATAGGTTTATTAGTTTTATATTAATATTATTATATCTACTGGTAGACTGAAACGAAAAACATTTTCCGTTAAGGCCGTTCAGCCGTATTTCTTATGGCTAAAGGATAAAACTGGTAAACCAATACTCAAAAGTAAAACATTTTATTAGAAAAAAATAATTATTAGACAAATGGCTTCTTTTGTTCATGTGAAATTTATCACAATTAAAGCAAGGACCACGAAAGTACTCTTATGATTTCCACAGTTCCACCTCAGTTGCATCGTTTATCGTGAAGAAAATTACAAAACAATTATTATTACGATAAATGTATAAAAAACCATCATAAAAATATAGAATAATAATACTTGTATACAGTGTACATTCATAGGTGCCGAGTGGCTTTTTGGCATAATCTAAAATATATATGCACAAAATAAATGACAAATAGCTAATCTCAAAAAGTTAAAATCTAAAACCCTAAAATTTAATATAACTCACATTCTTCTGTTTACATTAGGATTTCACACTAAATTAGTAGATAACTTTTTCCATTAAACGGTCTGCCAAAAGCCAAAGTATTCATCACAATTCACAAGTATAATGAAATGCAAAATCTCAATTATCAGTTAGGTTCGGTTAAGACCTAGGTTATATATTATATAATATAATATATTAAATTAATATATATTTATTATTTCTACAGTGTTATTCTCAACCGAGATTTCCTTAATAATTTGTGCATACGGATCTCTTGATATTCAAATTACGTATTAGTTTCAAAACAATGTATGTTTATCACTATAATGAGCAAAGTAAGGGAGAGCTGTGGTAAAAATATAAATAGTTTAAGATTCTAAGCGAATCGATGAATGACGAATGTATTTATTTTACAATGATGTATATATTT